TTTTTTTTTTTTTTTAAACCAACACTATCCTCTGGCATATTTCACCAGCTTTTATGAAAGATCCAGAATCTATTGCAATTCTTGTCAATTCTTCCTCTTTTTTTTTATTTTTTTAAAGAAAGAAGCCACCCAGAGTTGTCTTATAGGGCATAAATCAATAAAAACCAAATGAAGAGGGGAATCTTTTTTAGAAATTCTTCATCTGGAAGCATTGGATTTAGACATGTGAGAAATAGAAGGTGGTACGAACATTTTAACCAGGGGATACCTAGATACCTATACAAAGAAAATAGTATATGCCCACAATTCAAGCTCTTGTGAGCATGGGGTCCCTCAGGTTTTGGGGTTCTGGGTTGATGTTGACCATAACTGGGTGTAGCTGCATGTCACACGGACATCTGATGCAAGTTGTGAGATACCCTGAGCCCTGCCTACCAATAGTAAGTGCCTACCTTCTTACATTGAGCAGTTGGAACAGAAGCCAGAGACCTGTATGACCTCAAGATTCGTGTGTGCCAGTTCCACCTCAATCTGATGTGAGCACAGCCAGGCCCAGGGGCACAGCCAACTTCTGGTCTTCAGCTGAGGGCATTTATGCCTCCAGATGCCCTGTGTTTGGGGTGGTGGGATGATGGTAATAGGCCACAGACAGAGCACCATGCAACGCTCTTTCATGGGATACTTGTCTGTCTAGTGGCGAAATGGCATCTGGTCTACTTTGGTGGTCATACTACCTTCACCAGATCTTCTGATCCTGGAGACAATAATCTCCAGCCTCCAGGTGTTCAATCTGCTATTGCCATCTGAATACCAGGAAATCTCTTCTGCATATATAATATCCTTATCCTAACGTTTCTTTTTTGGTGTGCCTTCACAACCGTAGACATTCTCCCAAAATGGAGGTTCTGAGGTGCCCTCTGCTGGTCGATGTTCAACATCTCTTTGCAGTTGAGCGACAGGTAAGTAACCCCAATGTCTTCGCTTTAGGTTATTTGCAGTATTTATAAGGCCATAGAAGCAAGCGTATTTCCTTTTACCTATTTATTAATTAATTTATTTATCTACATGGCTTTTTCAAAGATAAGCATGTGCCCCTGGGTTGCCATTAGGCAATGCCCTCGGAGGCTGACAGCAGTAAAATACAAAGCAAAGTACAGAGCCACAAGCATCCAGAGTTAGTTAACTCGATAAGACAGATCAGGCAGTTAAAAAAATAAACACGACAACCCATCGAACGCACTACAGAGTATTTACGGTAACCTTAACTAGTCGTTTCGTGGGTCCAAAAGTCTGGAGGAAAGCTTCAGATCTGGATCATCCAAGAAGAAGGTTAACAAGCACTTCCCCAAAATGGAGAGACCGTGCCTTAAGTTGTCTGAAGTTCAGATGCTGGAAAGGAAGAAAGGACAGTTTCTTCTGGAGGTCTTAAATCCATCATGCTCTTTGGGACAATACAGCATTTCTGGATAACCTAGTCCTGAGCCATGGGGGGGGGGGGAAGGGGGACACTTTTCAGTGGTGCCCAGAAATGGACCAATGGTCAAGGAAGCTCATGCTCACTGGAGACATCTGAGAGTACCAGTGAAGGAGTGGCAACAGATGGAGCACTGTCCTTTTTAGCACATGTTCAAGATCACTTACTTCCTCGGGTGCCCATCTACTGATTTTTTTTTTCTCTACACAAAGTTGGTTGTTTAGAAAGTTGAAAGCTATTCACAGGCAAGGATCATGCTGAAGTAGCCATGCAAAATAAGAACAAAAGGAAAAAAAAATTAGACTGATGTAGGTGCATGGAGATGATTGACCAGCATTGGAAATTGCTCATCGGATGGAGTCCCAGATGACCTTAGCAACAGTTGCTTGAAATAAATATAGAGCCCGACAGGTTTGCATGCGTTTCAGAGGGAATGTCTCCTGTTCGTGTTCAAATGGAGTAAGTCATGATTGCAAGGAAGAGAGAACGTGGTAGTAAAGGTGATAGGAACCCGTGATTGTATTGCTCCTCTTAGGAAGAGAGTCAGTCCACGAATCACTACTTAACAGTACTTTTTCATGATCTGCACTTTGATGACAGAGCTTTCAGTGGAAGAAGAGGCAACTGAGCACCGATACGTGGCCGGAGAAAATGAAGAGAATGTAGAGATTGACCGAGAAAAAGTAAAACTCAGGTTGTGGGGTCCTTGGTGCTCCCTGATCCTGGTTGTTCTCTTGCAGATGTTTCATTATCCAACTAGGGAATATCATTGATTATGTTACCTAGTTGGGTCATGAAACATCTGTATGAAAGCATCTTCGTGAGACTGCGAAATGGGTAAGTTGCTCTGAATAAGCTGTATCATTCGTTCTACTTCAAAAACTTCGCTTCTACTTCCTAACGGACACAAGCATGGAAGAATAACAACAGTAGCTATCAGCCACGGCGGCTGCATGGCCCAATTCATCTCCGTAGACGTGCAGAAATCTAGGTGTCAATGCAAAA